TAAATATTTCATAGCCCTATGTCATATATAACATAAATACTAAGTAAAGAGTTAAAAATCACTTGTTTCTATTATATTTATAAGCCACTGAAATTTGACTCTGGCTATCAAATACATTTCCTGGATCAGCCCAATACATTTAAACAAAGGTAAGAAATGAGATAGCTGGCTTCCTGACACACTTATCTATAAACCCACAAAAGGAGTTCCTGAATTACACCTTTGATCTTACCTAGACTCCTTACTCAAATTCAGAATTATCACTAGTGCAGAGAGGTGCTTTATATACTATATGGTTTCAAGAAAGAACAGAGTTTTCACAAGGGGATAGAGGACCTGAAGACAAAGGGAAGTTGGGCGATGGAAATGCAGACCTAAGATTTAAAATAGTTTCTGATACACTCGCCACCCCAAACCTACAGTTAACAATGACTTATCTGATCTTAACTTCTCATTTTTAAAAATGAGAAAACACCCAGAAAGGAAAGTGAGTTGTCCAAGCTCACACAACTTATTGGTGGCAAAACTAGAACTTAAAAACACTCTTTAAAGGCCTTTCCACTGACTAGCAAATAAACGTTCTTCTTATAATGAGTCTGCCCTGCACCTATCTTACCAGACGACTCACCGTGAACCCTCTCAGCTTATTGTCACCACTCAAACCATCAATCCCACCACAGAGTTTTATCATCATGACATTTTTGGCAGAGTAATAATTCAATAAACTTTCATTGGGCACCTAGTTTTGTTGCCAGATATTATTCCAGCCAAATCTTGTCAAATATACAAAGTGCAAGTGATAAGCCATAATATCTGTAATAATACTATCTCCTACTATTTATTCAACATTCATAGTGAATAAGCATTCAGTATCTCAGGCACTGCCCTGTGCTAAGCACATTATATACATTATTTCATGTAATACAGTCAGCCTTGGATATATGTACTATTTTTATTTCCATTTTAAAGACCAGAGGAGGTAACATAGAGAAATCAAACAACTTCCACAAGTCACACAGACAATAAATGGTGAAGCTTAGATTTGAACCCAGTCTTATACCAGAGCCCTTGATGATAATCATTACACTTGGGCATTTTCCATGCCTAAGATCAATATGGAAAGCAGCTTCCTTTTTCTACCAATTCAGTTTTGAAAACACAACACTATTGCTTAGACAGTTTTCCACTGAGAATCTCTTTTGGAATGACAAGCTTAAAGCTATTTCCTGTTTTCAGCCTCACTTCCCCACTTCTTCAAAGCCAAGCTAGGCTGGGATAATCCTTGAATTATTGGAGAAACTCCAGGTACTTACCAATAATATGGTTTCTCAAAAAAAAAAAAAAAAGATTATCAAGAGCAATTATCACAGGTCCTCTTTTTTTCTCTTGTCCATTTTAGAGACATTTATAGAATTTATAATATTTCTCCTCCTGCCTGATAATCAAGCACACTAGCACACTAAAAAAAAAAATAGATAGGTGTTCCTGAAACAGCCAGTAGCCAGGATACAGATTCCACAAGTCACAAAATAGGGGAACTTATGGCTGGGGCTAAAAGCCATCTAAAGCAAATTTAGAATCACAGCAAGGTGTTGTAAAAGCTGACAAGACTAATTAATCTTTTAAGATATATAGCTGAGGAGCTTGTTATCATAAAAGGCACAATGGTATAAGTATCAACCTGGATTTCAGCCCTGCATCAACCATTAATATGCTCAGAAGTAAATTATACATCAATTTCCATTCATAAAATAGAGATAATGAAACAAGCTTGGCAGATTTGTGTTGAAGATTAAATGAAATAACGTATATTAAAGTGCTATGAGAATAGTAATTTTCTCTATATACTTGAGAGGGGTTTGGTTCTGTGCACTTTGCCACTAAGCAAAGACTTGAAAATAATTTGCTCCAACCTATACATTTGCACCTACTAATTCGGCAAAATTGACCTGAGACTTGATAACTAGGCACTTAATATTAAACTCCAACTTTCAACACTCTTGTTATTAAGACCTTTGTCTTAATAACAATAATTTCTTACATTTGTTTAGCTTTTCATAGTTTACAAGAATTTATTGAATTATTTTTACAAATCTTCAAGTACATAATGTTGATATTGCATATCTGCAATCAGTAAAACTGGGGCTTAGAGGAGTGATGTAATTTGTATAAGATACCACAGATAGTATAATCTGTACTGAAAGAAAAGTTTAAAAAAGAAAAAGACAGAAAAATGTTGTGAGACTAATAATTCAGTCATCTACATAATATAGTTTTGTAGAAAATTTTCTTCTCTACATTGACAAAGAAGAAAAAAGATTCTTCCAAAGTACTTGAAATGACCATAGGTTCTTGTTTCATTTATAAAAGCAGTGACCAAGTTACAGAGACAAATAATTATGTATTTGAAAATGATACATGGAGTTTTTCAATGTCACTAAAGTGGCTTCTAAAAAACCACCTAAAAGAAATATGGGCATGTTATTTCTGTTGTCACTGGGTTAAAAAAAAAATCAGTGCTATAAAATTTGATACTTTCCATTCACTTTATTTGAAATATCCAAAAATAGACAAAGCAATTATAATGTGGCTTGGAGAAAAGGAAAATGGGAAAATAAAGAAGTAGAGCTTGAGGAGAAAAAAATGAAGTAGTGTCGTTACAAAGGCTTAAATATTGTAAGTGAAATGATAAATTTATATGGCCTTGCATGAGAAGGAATTGATTAGATCTGGGCTCTACCACCAACTTTGCCAGACGATTTAGAAAATAATAATAATAGAGACAATAGTTTATTAAGCTCTAATCAGGTGTCAAGTTCTGTGTCAGGTGTTTGATATGAATTAACTCAGTTAAGGTTCATCAACATTGATAGTTACCATTATGATTTATCCCAATATTACAAATGAGTCTTTTGAGACTTTAAAAGGTTAAGTAAATCACTCAAGCTCATAAAACTTAAGCAAGAAAAGATGTATATATCTGATTCTAAAGACTGTGCTCATTTTAACATATAATACTGTCTTTTAATTTCACTTTAGTGAAGCTCAAATTCCTCTCATATAATTATCCCAGAGATATCTTTTTTTTTTTCATCAGTTAATCTGCTGTGTATCCATCCACAGTTTCAGGATGTGACTCAAAAGCACTGGCTTCCTGAATAACTAATCTTATTTCAAGGAGATCATCCAACATGTACAAATGTCTATGCAGAGCTTCTGAAGTATGATCTTGACTCAGCATCATAATCAGCACGTCTTGAACCTGCCAG